TTATTCTCTTATTCTTCATCCTGTCTTTTCTATAATATTCTAGGTCTGCTCTTCAACAACTTTTGAAAATATTTAGGCTTCAGTACACTTTTAATGTCTAAACCATTTCAAATATCGCTTCAACTGATACCACTTATAACTGTAGAGTCTACAAAGCGCTTCTGTGTATGTATATGTTTCAATTATAGATCATATACAAATTTACTAATTTATGATTTCATTTCAAATTTGACTGCAGTCAATGTACCGCATGATATCCTTTAGGGTAATGTCTGATCACATTTATGTCTGTGGTCCCAAACCCTATAAACCCTATTATATTAAAAGTAGAGGTACATACAATAGTTCATAGTAATAAATAGGTGCTACACTGCAATACACATCAAAACATGGTAATATTAAAGATGTTTTAGTGTATCTGGAAGTGTTTCATTTTTCATGCATAGAAAGGTACTATATACTAAGACAAACATATGACTGATACTAGATACAAACCCCACATAACTGTTCCAACTTATATACAAACTCAACTTAAAGACAGGCTTAGTAATGGAACTCATTTATAATCCAAGGATTGTCTCTATATAAATATAAAATGGTGTCCACACAATGGACAAATCACATGCCCTATTTCACAGAATGTATTTATTGTGAATATCAAGCGACGTGACTGTAAACTAGTATATTTTCTACATGATTGCTGAATGCTTAAACTGAGCTACAAAAATGCTTGTATTTACCTGAAAATGTTAAGTTCATTTATTAGGAAAAAAAAAAAAACTATTTTTTATGGTCATTGTCTTAGTTAACTAGAGCTGGTACAACAGAAATACCACAAATGGATGGCTTTAACAAACAAATTTATTTTCTCACAGCTGAGGAGGCTAGAAGTCTGAATTCAGAGCACCAGCTCTAGGGGAAGGCTCTCTCTGTGGGCTCTGGGGTGAAGTCCTTGCCTCTTCAGCTTCTGCTTCTCTGGACATCTCCATGTGTCTTGCTGTCTATCTTACACCATCTCTTCTGTGTTCACTTGTTTAATCTCTTTCATGTCTCAAAAGAGATTGACTCAAGATACACCCTATGGTAATCCTGCCTAATTAATATAAGAGACAAATCATTCCCAAATGGGATTATAACCACAGGCATAGAGGTTCAGTTACAACACATATTTCTAGGGGACACAATCCAATCCATCAGTCATTAACTCCGATCCTTTTTTAGGTAGGTTCTATCTCTATAAAATTAGCACAACTTGTACACATTACACACTATAAACCAAAAACGAGAAAACTGGAAACTTTAAGCGTTCTAAGCAACAACACATTTGAGTTGCTATATTCCTCTCAGCATTCTCTTTTCTAATTGCATTCCCACAAGACAGATCTCAAAGCTCTCCAATTTAATCACGCCCCACTGACTGGTGTCTCATTGGGTACCAGTGACAATGCTTGGCAGCAAGTCCCTCAACCTGGGTCGGAGAGAAAAGCAATCCTAAAGAAACTGTCTTTAGTCTGCTCATGACAGAACATTCTGATGAGAGGCTCCTCTACAAAGGGTCGGGTGCTGGCCCTGACTTTATAGACCTAAGGCATCCACAAGGTACAAGACTGAACAAAATGTTTTAGGGAATGATTTGCCTTCATTTTCATAAAGGGAAAAGGCAACAATTTCTCCCAAAAGACTTCCAAAACCATCTAGTCTCTCTATTCTCCTATCCAATAAGCTGGTTCAGGCCCCCAGTATCACTGGCTTACATTACTGTTCCTGACAAGTCTTCTGTACCTCCTGCCCGGACAACCCCCTACCAACATACATGTATGTGTTGATACAGACACAACACACACTAATACACACTAATACCAGGCCACTCTCAAGTTCAATCTAATCTTTCATGTTAAAGATAATTATATCACTCCCTGCTCAAAGTTCCTCAACAGTACTCCACTGCTCTTAGGATAAAAATCCAAAGTCCCCAGCATTACCTATGGGTTCCTGCACCACCAAGTACTCTCACCTCCCCAGCCTCATCCTTAGCTGATCCCCCCCTCACAATCTACAAATTGACCCCAATGAACTTTCAGTTCCTGAAATGTGTAGCGCTCACTCACCTCTAAGTCTTCACTCACATTATTCCTCTACCAGAGAGAACTGCTTTTCTATCTCCATTCCCTACCCTTCATGTACTCATCCTGCAGGTCTAGGCCGAAGTGTCACTTCCTCTACAATATCCTTCCTTCACCTCCACCCCAGCTACAGTAGGTGTCCCTCTCATGGAACCCTGTAATAGTAGACTTTATTATAACTGTCAATTTACTTCTCTATGCTCCCTGCTCCCAGACAATGGGTCAGTGCCCCCTAATCACTATTATAGCACACAGGCGCTCGAGTATCTGTTAAATATATTGTAAGTACACATTGTTGTTGTTGTTATGTGCTGTCGAGTCAGACCTGACTCATAGCAACCCCTCCTTGGGTTTCCAAGGCAGTATCACTATGGAAGTAGATTGCCCCATCTTCCTTCTGAGGAGTGGCTGGTGGATTTGAACCACCAGCCTCCTGGTTAGCAGTCAAGTGCTTTAGGCACTATGCTACCAGAGCTCCTTAAGTACACATAATAAACATAATATGAACCCAGCCCATGCACTGGGGAAGCATATTCAAAGTTAGTTATGATATGATGGAAATTAAGCCGTAATTTCACTATGCTTTGGTATGAAATGCAAATTACACGTGTCTACAAACAAACACATTAGGAAAATAAATACCTTAGGAAAAATTTAAACATTACACATTAAAATAAATAAATAAATAAAACACTTTTCACCACAATGTCACACGTGTTTGTGCTCACAAATGATTACGCAAATTATGTTGTTGTTGTTGTTATGTGTCATCGAGTCTGACCCAACTCACAGTGACCCTTCCTTGGGTTTCCGAGGCAGTATCACTATGGAAGTAGATTGCCCCATCTTCCTTCCGAGGAGTGGCTGATGGGTTTGAACCGCCAGCCTTCTGGTTAGCAGCCAAGTGCCTTAGGCACCATGCTACCAGAGCTAAGCAAAGTGTAGTTCATAAAAAGTGCCAGATAGAAAATAACAAAAAAGCAGCCCTGTTTGCTTACAGGTCAAGTACAGCATCAATGTAACTTTTCCTCTATGGTACCATCTCTCTTGGTGCTACTCAGAACCCTGCTAACTAAAGGCAAAAAGGCTATGGTACTTCTCAGTTTCAGTCTTGATGTAAGTCTTTCAAAAAGGGTTTCACTTATGATAATGGTCCCAAGGACATAAATATGTTGCCAGGAAACAGACTTCTGATACATCCTCGGTATTAGCTGCCATTGGCAGCTACTTTCTTTGGGCCACATGTCTTCTTGGAGGCTTGTGACACCAGATTTTTCCAGGGTAGCAGACTGATGTCACAAGCATTCACAAGTGATGGTACAGAGCACTCTAAAGAGCTCACCAACTCCACCCTACACTCCCTGTGTGCTATGGGCAAGTCCTGCCTCCCCTTTAGGCCTCAGGTTCCCCATCTGCTAAAAAGCAGATAATGGTTCCTCCTTCTTAAGATTCTTGTGGGAATTAGATTATCTATGAAAGCACTTAGCAGACCATCCAGTTACTCTCAAATCAAAATGGAGAGACTATAAACCTAAAATATTTTCACAGCTTAGAGTTTTTGGAAATGGCATAACTTACTTTTAACCTACGTCCTTCTATCTGGAAATTTTTAAGAACGAAAAGGCAGAGAGATAAGAAGACTCTACTTTTTCATCATAACCTTTGGATTTGAAAGATTTCACAGAAATCTACATTAAGAGCCACTTTCTAATCTTTCTCTGCACTCCCAAAATTATAGCATTAATTTCTACTTTAACCATTCCTAGAACTTGGAAAGCAAAAATAAAAATACTCCAATACTTCTCTCAAAATGTCCTCAACAGGAATATTCATCTACTTCCTGACTCAATTTACCTCTTCAAAAATAATAAAAAAGGCTCAATCACAGAAGTTGGCCTTCAAAGTCTCTAGTTTCCTTATTACAAAACTACAGTTACAAGGTATGATGGAGGCACCTGTTAGGAAAGAGGAACAACAGCCCATAAAGCTCAAAACGTTACAAAGAAAATTCAAACTAACTTTGGGAAGAAATGTGGATTTCCCACCTCACAATTTTTCACCCCTAACACAGGATGGTAAAATAGTAATATATGCTGTCCAATGTGAACATAATTGTTCTCAATTAAGAGAATGGGGGCAAGAGGGGAATTTGAGTCAATCAGGTAAATTGGCTCCCATATTCCCAAACCAGACTGACTTGAGGTCTTTTGGGTTTTTGTTGTTCGTTATTTTCCTTATTATTACAAGGAAATATTAGATCTTCTTCTCAAACATGTTTTAACTAAACATGAGACCTCAAAAGAATCTTATAACTTTATCCCAGCCTGGTTCTGGGCTGGATTTTAAAAAATGGGTGACGTTTGAACTGCTTCCTAAAAGCAAATGGGGCACTAGGATATAATTTAGGAAGTGATGATGCAAGTGTCTGGGGGGAGGAGGGAGGTGAAAAAGTCAGAGGAAATACCCTCCTGATGCCTAGGCACCAACTCACTCTAAAGGAAGGGAGGAGATAAGAAAGCTAGCCTCAACATGCCAAGGAAGGGGGCAACACTGCTCCACTGGGAGGTGCCAATACCACCCCTTCCTCCCTCCCCCACTGCCCTGCCCCCCTCACCCGTGGCCAGAGAGGCCCCTGGAAGCCCGAGCCCCGGGCAGGCGAGTCCCAGGGGGTGGAAACGCACCCTGGGCAGGGCCCTCTCTGCTCACTTCCAGCTTCCCACACGGCCCCCCAATCCGGGACGCGACCCCTGCCCCCTCTCCGTAGGCCCAGCTTGGGCCCAGCCCCCAGGGTCTCGGCCTCCCGGGGCTCCAAGGCCTGCCTGGACAACCTCGGCGCCCGCGCCCCCGGCCCCCACCCCCACCCGACCTGGCACTTACCCCCAGAAGCCGCAGGGACAGCGAGGCGGCAGGCTGGGCGCTTTGCTACGCTCGCTCCCGGCGTCTCCCATGGTGCTCGGCGGCGGTGGAGCTCGGCGGCGGCGGTGGCAGCGGCTGGGCCTGGGCCCCGCTCAGAGGAGGCGGTGGCGTCGGGGGGCCCGGGGCGGGGGAAGGGGGAGGGAGTGGGCGCGCGGGCGGGCGCGAGTCCGGGGCTCCGAGCCGGGATTCCAGGCCGGTCAGCTGGAGGCGGGCTGCACCACTGGGCCTGCGGAGACGGGGGGGCCTGGGGAGGCGCGGCGAAGAGAGGGAGGGGAACTGAGGAGGAGGGGCGGGTGAATCGAGGACCGCGGGGGAAGGGGGAAGGGGGAAAGAGGGAAGACCAGGCGCCCTCGGCGGCTCCCACCGCCGCTCCCTAGCCAGAGCGATATCTCGAGCGGCGGCGTTGGGAAGGACCTTAGGGCCCCGCCGGCTCTGGACTGGCAGCGGCTGCGGTGAAGCCTCGGGCCGCGCTCACTCCGTAACACTCTCCCCTCCCCCGGAGGCTGCGCTGACCGGACAATGGCCGCTCCGCCCCCTCCCCTGTTCACGCACCCCTCCCAAGGAGTCACAAATGGTCTCGCCCGGAGGGGCAGCCGCCAAAGCCCAGCAGCTGATCAGCTGGGATCCGGGCGTGCCACTTTGTTTAGCACCTCAAAGGAAGAGTACCGGCCTGTGGGCAAAGCAGAGTGCGTCGAGCTGTCACTCAGCGACGGGCCTCTAAAGCCTTCGTATTCTAGGAACTTTTTAAAATCTGAGGCAAATTTACGTTCCCTCTGTGTCTGAAAGGGAAGCAGGCTTCTTCAGTACTCTGGGGCCGGTTGCCTCCCCCTAAAGGCGAATGGTACGCCCCAAGCAGGAGGGGGAAGAGCAGGTTAGTTGTTGAGGGTAAGTGGGGCCAGTCCCAAAGGGTGGACAAGCGCTGCGCATGCGCCGGGGACCTTGTACCCGGGTGCGGGGAGGGGCCAAGAAGGATTGCCTCCAAACCCGGAAGTGGGTCAGGGGCTTCCCCAGGCTTCCAGGAAAGTCTCGGATCTGACCGCCCTCACTTCTGGGCGATGCTGGGGAGTATTTCTGCCCAAACTGCCAGTCCCTTGGGAATCTTTCTTCCGGGTCCCCACGTTCGGCCCACTTTTTCCAGTTAGACCCGGAGATGGTCTCCTTTTGGGAGTGTTGAACTACTGGGAAATGTCCCTCTAGCAATGATGGGGAGAGGGTATCTTGATCGTAATCCATGCTTCTCTTGTCCCATCGCTGCCCAGAGTCGCAATCCCAACCCTATTCTTAGTCCAATAGAGCTTTTTCCTACGAGCGGACAGGTTTGGGTTTTGGAAGAGAAGCTACGGCAGCATCAGCGACAGACATTAGTAACTGAAGATAAAAAATGTATCTTTTAGCTCTCCTTGTCATTGATCCTGAACTCATTCTGATCTCCCAGCCCATCCTGACTAGGCGCCTTATTCTTTATGTTTCATTTCAACATGGAGGAAACTTGCTCCAGACCTCCTGACCGGCCTCTGAGGCCCTGCTGCATCGAAGAAAGCTACCTGGCTGGTAGGAATAACTGCTATATACCACTCTCCTTGACCCAGTCGGGATAAAGAGTATCACAGGGTATTACCTAGGTTAATTTTATTACTAAATGTTACTTTTTTGTTCATGTATATACCAAAATCTCATTTCTGTTTGTGCATTATCTGTGGATTTGTCAAAGTTGATGTCATTTCTTTTGGCCTCCACACTTCTAAAGAGCAAAGATGCTGCTGATGGTGAAGACAGTGATTGCAAAAATCAAGCCACTTAAAGCCAAGGAACCCCCGAATGTGAATGCTGATTTATTTTGTATAGCATTTAGTTTTCATTTTGTGGATTTTCAATATTTCTCCTAAAAGTGCATAGAATAGGCAAAGTAACACAGCACACCTACCTCTCACTGGACTCAGTGACCTTAAATATTCTCTAAACTGATAATATAATAACTTTGTTAAAGTTTATAAGTCTCATTAGAGACATAAACTTTAACAAAGTGAGATTAAGTGAGACTTTATTGACATCTTAATGATTTCTTTTTATATATGGAAAAGGAAACCCTAAAACCAAAAGAAAGATTTGATATAAAAAGTTACTGTTATCCTTACAACCTGCTTACCTACCTATTTGCCAGTTACATTCAGCAAGCATTTATTGAGTACCCAGTATGTATAAGGCATTTCCTAAATCCTCTGGAAGCTAAAGAGATTAATAAAACAGCACTTAACAGCTAGTCCAAACTTCCTATATAAAAGAAGTTAGACAATTTGGTTCTAATCTTCCTCTCAGGCTTCATTTCCTACTCTCGTCCATGTACCCTACACTTCAGCTGCTAATTGCCATTCCTTGACATTTTACATCTCTGTGGCTTTGTCCTCTGCCCCAACTACTCTACCTCTCTATAGCACACTCCTACTGCTCCTTCAGGAGCATTTTACTTCTTCAGTAATAATGCCTCCCAAACTCTGACAAAGTAGAAATGGTCCCTACTTCCTCTGCCCACATAATTTTCATGGTATTGTTATTGTTAGCTGCTGTCAAGACAGCCCCAACTCATGGCAACCCCACGGCCAATGGGATCTGCATTGTGATCCATAGAGTTTTCATTGGATGATTTTTTTGCAAGTAGACTACCGTCTTTATTCCTAGTTGGTGTTAGTCCGGGCACCTCTGAAACCTGTTCAGCATCAAAGCAACACACAAGCCTCCACTGACAGACAGGTGATGGCTACATAGAGGTGCACTGCTGAGAATCAAACCCTGGTCTCCCATATAGAAGGTGAGAATTCTGCCACTGAACCACCAATACACTCAATCTTGTCTCTTCTAATGAAACCTAGCTCCAAAAAGATTGGAGCTAATCTGATAAAAATTGACTATCTTAGTCGAGGCTCTTTTGTCTGCAAGTATCAGAATGAAACTCACTTAAAAATATTTCCTCAAAATCAAATAAAAACACAAAAATTTTGAAGGAAATAATCTTACAGAATCTAAGCTGCACAGAGAGTTGTTGCTCGCTTGAAGATTTCTTGAAGGACAGAAACAAAGACCTGAAATACCATCAGTAAGCCAAGTGACTATTCTCTCAATAGTTTTTCTTCTCTCTGGTTCCATGTTCTTCCATCTCGTCCTTTCTCTATAGAGCTGCTTCATTCTTCTTTTCAGACCTGTTTTCACTGGTTCTCTTGGAACAAAATAGAACATGACTATACAAACTTATTCGGAAGGAAGGTTGGGCAATCCTACTTCCGTAGTGATACTGCCTCGGAAACCCAAGGAGGGGTCGCTATGAGTCGGGGCCGACTCGATGGCAAATAACAACAACAACAACATACAAACTTAACCCATCCTCACTTGAAGGAACCAGCATAAATTAATTCATATCTATGAATGACAGTTGCCAGGAGAAAGAACCTGACTGGTTCAGCTTATGTCAGGTGTCCACTCCTGTTACAATCAGCTTTGGCCAGTACAGCAGTATGTAGTCAAGGTTCTTTCTTTTACAATATAAACTTGGCTGCCAGACGCCCGTCCTTGTGGACTGCAGTTCTCGAAGAAGGTCAGTTATGTTCATGGCAAAGATTCTAAAAGCTGTGTACCACAGACCAAAAAGGAATAAATTGCAGCCTGAAACTCAAAAGCAGAAAGAAAAATAGACATGTTCAAGAATTTGAGTTCATTTTCCAACTGACTAACTTCTGCTTAAACTATTTCAGGCCTAAAGTTAAATGGTACTTCCTCAGAGACACCTTCCCTGATCCCTGGCCCCAGTAAAAGTTATGTTGCCCCATTATTCTCTTACATGATGTCTTTTTCCTCTATAGCACTTTTCACCATTTATAATTAAATATTTATTTGTCTCCAAAGATCATGTCTGTTTTGTTCACCATTATATACACAATGCCCAGGGCATATCTGGTAGCCATTCAGTAAATTCTTGTTGAGTGAGTAAAAAGGCCCAATAATTTGTTAATTATTGTGAGACTCATATATTAATTGGCATTCCTAATCAGACTACTGTGGAGGAATTTCTGGGTCAGCAACCCACCTTCCTTAGAGGACAGCTAAACTCATTGCAAGGTGTGTGAAATGAGCTCCTGTATGCATCTGCTTTCTCTTGTGATGCTCCCAAACTAGGTAACTCTTCACTCTTAGTGCCCAAGGTCTTTATCTGAAGAACCCTTGAAGCAATTCCTATAACATGCCCACTTAGGTGGCTGAAAGCTCAGAGAGGACATAAACTTTCAAGGCATCATCAAATTAGGGGACCAAAGTGTGGGGATAATTGGAAGAAGTGCTTTTGTCATAATTGTCTCACCTATTTTCCAGTGTGGATTACATTCCGGATTAACCTGTAACATGACTCTTGGAGTAGTTTGCAATCATAAATGGCCAAAAAGGAGCCATCTATGTGCTCAATAGGGTCTACTAAAGGATATTAATAATGCTTCAGGAGCAAGAGTTCTTGAGGTAGCAAGTAAGATTGTATGAGAAAGAGCCTGGTGTAACTCAAGGGCAGGGGCTTACGAGGACTGCTTTCTCAATAAAAGTCCAAAAGGGATCTAAACTCTGAAAGAAGATGCTTATAGAGGTCTGAGAAGAGGTGATCCTCCAACTCTAGTCCTAATCCTTGCTTACAACTCTGTCTAATTCTAGTTCAAAGACTTCCATCATCATAATTCATTCTAACCTGATACTAACCCCAGTGTCTAATCCAGATTCTCGCCTCAATGTTAATCCTTATCCTAATATTATCTGAAAACTTAATCTCAGAGCTCAAACTTAATCCCAGCCCAATGCTATGTGCTTAACAAAGGCTCCTTGCCTTGCTGCTGAGTTATTTTCCCTAGACCTTCTGTCTTGTGACCCTTCACCCTGATCCAATCTTGGGGACACAGACTCTGGGCCCCTGGGGACAATGGGAACCAGTTTTAATAACTCTAAAAGAGCAAAAGGCCTTGAGCTATTGGAAAATAGAAGCACCTCTCACTTGGGCAAGAGGCAGAAACTGCCCAGTCATGTCTTATTAC